GTTGTATGTTTTAAAATATGTTTTTATTTTATTTCAGAGAGGGGAAGGGAGAGAGAGATAGAAACATCAATTATAAGAATCATTGATTAACCACCTCCTGCACACCCTCTGCTGGGGATCGAGGCTGCAACCTGGGCATGTGCCCTGATGGGGAATTGAACCCTGATCTCAAGGTGCATAGGTCGATACTCAACACTGAGCCACAATGACCAGGCTGGAATCTTAATGTTTTTAAGGTAAAGTTTCCAGAACAAGCCTACTCTCCCCAAGTTAAGATTTTCTTTCTTAAGCCCTGGCCTCGTAGTTCAGTTGATTGGCGTCAACCAGATACTCCAAGGTTGTGGGTTCGATCTCTAGTCAGGACACGTACAAGAAGCAACCAATGAATGCATAAATAAGTGCAACAACAAATCAATGTTTCTTTCTTTTTCCTGCTCTTAAACATTTTTTAAATATTTAGAATTCCTTTCTTAAGTATAACCCACTTTGAAAGGCAATCTATAATCATTCAAATATCAAATTACTTTGCAAAAATTAGGTTTCTGAAAAATTTAGTTACATTAAAAATGCTTACAAGTGAAATATTAATGTTCAAAATTAACTTAAAGCATAATCTCAATCAACTATATCATAAATTCATACAAAGAAAACTGGGAGAAGTATTCTACCAAAATGCCACTCTCTGAGAACAGTATCTCTCAGTGATGGTATCAGTTGTGATTAGTATTTTCCATTGTGGGCATGTTTTACTTTTTAACATATTACTTTTGCTTTTAATCCTCACCCTAGGATATGTATTTTTTTTTTATTTTTTTTTTTGCTACTGATTTTAGAGAGGAAGGTGGAGGGAAACATCAATGTGAGAAACATCAATTGGCTGCCTCCTGTTATCACTCCTGACCAGAATCGAACCCACAACCTTTCATTGCATGCGACAGTGCTTCAACCAACTGAGCCACACTGGCCAGGGCTAACATACTGCTTTTATGATCAGGAAACTAAAAATACAATCACTGAGGTAAGTAGAATAAGCAAAATAAGCCTTTTATGGAATTACTTCTGAGACATGAAGATACTAAAAATGATTGATCTAGTAATTCAGGACAGCAGCGAATTTGCACGTGATTTGCTGGTTTGAACTCATTTCAAAGGTCATTTCCTCAGTGGTTCAATGTCTTTGAGTATTTTTTAAAACTTGCGTTTAGAACTCACTACTTTTAGTTAGGTGTGACTATCAACAAACAAGCAAAACTTTGTATTTATAGGAAAGAAATGTGTAGGTGAAAGTGCAGATTTTAGCAATAGCACAGAGGCAAGCCCTATACAATCAATTCTTTGTGTAAATTATGCTTTTTATTGACAGGGGTCGTTATCATTGTGTACAAAAGCAAAGACTTCCCTGTGGCCTGCAGCTGTGGTCGCTGTTTGTAGAAGCCATGTGCCCAGGGTGTGACTGCTTCTTAGACTTAGTTTGCCTTTGCAAACAGTCCGGGCTGAAACCGGAGAAGCTGCGGCTGGGTGCTGGCTGAGGCCAGGCCCAGGGCCCCTTCAGTCTAATGGATGTTTATTGAGAAGTTTAGCAGCAAGGAGCTGTGTGGCAGTGATACCAAGATAAACACAAATAGTCCCTGGCCTGTGCTCAACTCATAGTTAACATGTATTTTTGAAAACATCCCATCTAATCCTCCCAGGCATCCTGTAAGGCAGGCGGAGGCCTCCCCCCCCTCCCCCCAATTTTACAGGAGGTTCAGTCGTTCTCCCCATGTGGAGCAGACCCAGGACTGGAACTCAGGTCCTCTGATCCTAACCCCAGTGCTGTATGCCATGGCTGCCTCCTGGACCAACAGTCCCTACCTGATCACTAGAGGTAAACAGTCTGAAAGGGGAAACACATATACAAATATCAGGCAGTGCAAAGCCGTATGGATAAGGTGTTTTACAGAAAGCAAAGTGCAGGAGAAAAACAGAGAAGGGCCACTAATTTCCTCCTGGCCACATTTCCAGTCCTAAGAACAAGTTGCAAGTCAGGGTATCATTCTGCACCTAAATTTCTTCATCTATAAAACGAAAATAATATGTTTGCCTACCTCAGAGTTATTTTGAGAACCAAATGAGATAATATATGTAAAAAAATGCTTTGAAAATTATAAAGGTATATATAGGTATACAGTGGTGCCAATAGCAGCATCAGAGCCCATAAACTTCACTGGGTATATTTATATTTGTGAGTAAACAATTAGAAACAGTGGTTATTAATCAGAAACTACATTGTGAAACAGTATTATTCTTTCCTTGCTTATCACATTTAAAGGCAGTGTAATCATTAATCACATTGACCTTGAAGGCAGAAAGTACTGAATTCAAATCCTAACTCTGCCAGCAGCAGTGGGACACTGGGCAATATGTTAATTACTCTGCTATTCATACATACATAGTGGGGATAATATATTTTTTCATGAGGGCCCAATGAAATGGTACATGCAAAATATTTACTATAGTGCCTGGCACAGAGTAAATACTCAATAAACACTAGCTTCAAAAAGTATCTAACATTTCTTGAGCACTTGCCATGTACCAGGCCTAACTTGGGAAACAAAATGAAAATACATGGCGGAGAAACATACATACAAATGAAAAAACATGCTCACTACTGAAAAGGTAGTTTAGAAAATGAGCTTATAAATCTGCCTGGAGAGACAGGTAAATAGAAATCTGGGAGGGAGGAGGAGGAAGCATTAGACTCAAGATGAGAGGAAGGGACCTTTGGAAGGGTGAGGAGAAGTCTGCAGTGCTGTTTATTTGGCTTTATCATCTGCCCACAGCGGTTTGATCCCTTGAGGAGTCAAGACTCATGTTCATGCTTGTTGGTCTTCTGGTGATTCAGTCTAGACATTCTGGTGACTTCACGAGCATGGTGTTAGAAACTCATTTTATATGTGAAACATCTGTTTGTTTTCATTTCATAGACTCCTTAAGAGCTGTACAAACAACTTCTCACATAGGGTATAATTGGTCCTGCCACTTAAAAGTGTTAGTGTCCCTGGTCCGCATTGCTGATCCCATTAAGGAGAGAAGGCAGGGAGGGCTTGTAACCACTTGCCTCTGGAAAAGCTGGAGTGACCGGAATACAGAGTGGAATGCACCCTGGGGCCGGGGAGGTTGTTGAGGGCAGGCTAGGAGAGGTCAATGGGGGAAAGAGTGGACACATGTAATACTTTCAACAATAAAGATTAAAAAAAAAAAAGTGGAATGCACAAGGATTAGTTCTTCTGGAGAGAATGCAAAGTTTACAGCTAACTGTCCTTTGTCCACACGCAAATGTGCAAATCCAGAAAGCTTTGTCTTGGCCAGAATCCTTGCTACCAAACTGAAGTGTCTTTCTCCTTTTACCAACTGTGACAGCCAGGGGATTGGGGAGTTAGAGATGCTGCCCTAAGTGGAAGAAATTTCACACTTTTCTTTGGACTTTCTGCTTCCTAAGTATTGGCTAAATCCCTCATCTGAACAACATATAGGAAGAGTTAAAAATCTGCGTTTACTTTCTATCTGTTTCTACACCAGTAACTACCATGTTAGAGAAATTTAACTGATACTGAACAGAAACCATCTTTTACTTTATAAAACCCATATAATCTTTTGATTTTAGAGCTGGAAGAGCCTTAAAGAGCTTGTAATTCACCCTCTTGGTTTCACAAATGAGGCACCAGTGGCCCAGAGAGGCTGAGAAGTGGTGGTCCAGCCAGAGCCCTCTCATGGGCTTTTTCATGGAGAGACCTGCAGTATTTTTCAACTGCAGTAGACATAAATGAATGGTGTTTCTTCCCACATTCTCTGAGAAAGATACAGACCAAAGGAAAGTAAAATTTTGGTGAGCCCCAAGAGGGAGAGAAGCCAGTAAAACTGAAGTTACTGTATTGGCCCATGCCATCGGCGCTGAGCGAGAGGGAATCAGATTCCAATCCACTCAAATTTAGGGCACCTGGCCCGGAACTTTTAAATGAGAGCCGTTGTCAACAACAACAAAACTGTCACCAAGAGTGGGCAGTACCTTGACCCAAAGCCAAGGGGCGGGGCCCCGGAAAGCCGGCAGACGTGATAGTCCACCTCCACGTGTGCATGTGTGCATCTCCGGAGGAACTGCTGGACTCTGCGGCAGGACTTAGTGCTCGGCGATCCCCTCTGGAGAAACTGCAGCCGCTGGCAGGGCCTGGAAAAGCCTTCCTGGGCACGAAGGCCATTTCCTTCAGACGTCTGCTTGGAACAAGATGCACCGAGGTTGATAAGCCAGGCCACCGATAAGCATAGAGCCGCAGGCTCACCCACCCTTTCCTTCCTTTCCCCAAGGAGGGACGCCCACCGCTCCGCTCCGACCGGGCACCTGATGGCGGGAGACCTCCGCGGAGTCGTCCTCCTCCTGGCTCCCCGGCCCCCGCCTGCGGGATCCCGCCCCCTTCGCCTGGCGCTGGGAGGAGAGGGGGCTGGGGCAGGTGCGGGCCCTCGGTGTGTCGGGCTGGTTCCGTGGGGAGGAGGAAAGCATCCGCCGCGACCGACCTGCAGCCCCGGGAGCCTCTGCCCATCCCACCACTGCCGGGCCGCGGCCGGGCCCGGCGCAGCCTCCGCGCGCTCCGAGCCCGCCGGCCGCGCCGCGAACCCCGGCCCCGCAGCGGCCGCCCCCCGCCCCTCCGGCTGCGGCTGCGGCCCGGGAACCGGGAGCCTCTGCGCCCAGGGCGGCGGCCAGACCCCGCCCCGGCCCGGCCGCCCTATCGCGGCCGCCGGCCTGGTCACGCGGCGCGGGTGCGGGCTCGGGGCGGGGCGGGTGCGGGCTCGGGGCCAGCGCCCCGCGGCTGCCGCCGGAGTCCGGGGCCGGGCCGGGGCGGGGCGGCGCGGAGGGCGGCGGGGGAGGTAGAAATAGGGCGGGAGGGCCGCGGCAGTCCCGGGCACCAGCGGAGCCGACCGGAGCCACGCCGAGGGCGCCGAGCGAGCGCCGAGCCGGAGCACCCATGCTGCTGACGCTGGCCTGGGGCGCCGTCTTCTTCCCCGGGCTCTTCGCGCTCTGCACCTGGGGCATCCGCCGCGCGCGGCCCGAATGGCCCGAGTACGACTGCGTGATGATCAGCACCAGGTACCGGCGCCGCCCGCCCTGCGCCCGGCCCGCCGCGCCCGCCCGCGCCCGGCGAGGGGAAGGGGGGCACAGGAAGCGAGGGGCTGCCGCCCTGCTCCGCGCCCGCCGCCGCGGCCCTGGCGAGGCTCCGGCAGCCCCTCCTGGAGGGAGGGGAGCGGGCGGAGGGATGGGGAGGGAAGCCAGCTACGGCTCTGCCAGCTGCCCTGGGCCCGGGAGCGCGGGGCGGCCCTGCCGTTTTCCTCCCGCCCGGCCCTGGCCACCGCGGGGAAAGTCAGGTTGAGGGGTTTTGCTTTGTGCTGGATTAGGAGCGTTCTCCCCCCTTTCCTTCCCTCCCCCCTTTTTTTTTCCCTTTTCTGCCGCATCTTAGGGTGGTTTCTTCGGCGCAGGCTGTGTTGGCCACCGGCTCGGGGATCGCCATCATCCACTCCTGTAAGAACGTGGTCAGCGACAGGTAACAACATCCAACGCCAGGTGAAAGCAGTGCAGATGTCAGCGCCGACCTTTCCCCAAGTTTGCACAGTTTAGGGGCACACAGGCACTATTTCCTCACCGGCCGGGTAATGGGAAAACTTGGGTACCATCATTAGTTCCCACCTCCTCTCCGTTCCTCTTTCCGCAGGCCACCTTAGGAGAAAGCGAACTGAAGGCTAGAGGGGTGAGAATGGGGGGGGGGGGGGGTGAGGACAATTATGTGATACCGTAATCAATAAAAAATAAAAAGAAGAAATGCTAGAGAATGACAGAGTCCAAGCCTGATTTAAGGTAGCAAGTAAGACGATGGTGTGGTCCATTGATCCACGTTATTTGAGATAGAAGCCTTTGGAAATGATTCAGAAGTGAGAGTGTGGCTTTCGGTTCTTTTAAGTCACCCGCACGGGGGTCCTGTTCTGAAGCATTCATTGGCCAAGAGATGTGCATTGTGGTTGCCAGAGCCTCACAAATGCTGTTCTTCCTGGCCTGTCCTGAGGATTTGCTCTAGGTGGTGAGGAGGTTTCAGGTGCTCTCAGAAAACCGACCTGTGTGTGTGAGAGCTCAGGCCAGAGGCGGTCAGGAAGCGTGCTTCTAGTGGAATGAATGATACACACCAGGGTGGTCTACTTTGTCTAGTATATAGACCTGGGCGGTGGTGGCGTTTTGTTTTTGAAGACTTTTTATTTTTTGTTTTTTCACCTGTCTTCCTAGAACCACTCTTGCTTTTTGCTTTCTCCCAGTTAAGTTGAGGGACAGTCAGTGGACAGGGAAAATCTGTCCCTGACTCAGCCAAGTGCCCTCTCATCACCTGTTCAGACTGCAGTTGGAGGAGAGCCTGAGTGGGGTATCTGTCTCGCTGGCCTGCACATGTAGTGCCTGGATCTTACTTGGGATTATGCTGCCATCACGATCTTCGTGCTTTTCTTGGTGATGAGTTGTAGATGCTGAGAGAAAACAGGTCAGGTGACTTTGATTGCATGTGCAAAGGGCTGACAGCATTCGCTTGGCCGGGTTCAATTTTTATTTTAATCGAGCCTTCTGTGATTGCGTGGCAAACTCCCTCACTGCCCCCACCCAGTTTGTCAGCTCAGACTTGAAACCAGCCTCTTTTGCAAAGATTAAGACAAATGTGGCTCAGCACTATCTTGAGCTGACACGAGGGCAAGCAGCAGGCAACCAATACACATTTTAGAGAGAGATAGTTGCGCCTACTTAACTTTCAGTTCTGTGGCACCGCTGCCATGTCTCCCCCTGGAAACGGTGTGCTTTAGTGGCTTGAACATGGTAAGAAGCCTGAGTTTGGTTTTCAGGTCCCTCCTTTTGTGTATCTTTATGCCCCAGGGGTGAGGAATGTCCGGCTTAAGGCCTGGGAAATAATTTGGTGTGCTCCTACCAAGGCATTAGGGGTGAGTTAATTAAATGTTTGACCAAATATAGCAGGCTAGTTTTTAAGTTGATAATTTTGTATGGCCTGTGAATGATGTTATAAACATCCAATGGCCCTTGACAGAAAAAAGGGTCCCCACCCCTACCTTAGATTCTCTGCTCCTAAAATGGAGACCGATACATTTCAGTGGCCTTTACTTTCACATGGATGCTCTAACCGCACCGAGATCATTTTTTTTAAAAAGGCCTTTTGGGGCTCATAATCCTATATACCCAAATATTGTTTATTACATACCTTTTCACTTTATGCCTTGATGTAGACTGTCTATAAATAAGGGAGTGTCGCCGAAGCCGGTTTGGCTCAGTGGTAGAGTGTCAGTCTGTGGACTCAAAGGTCCCGTGTTCGATTCCAGTCAAGGGCATGTACCTTGGTTGCGGGCATATCCCCGGTGCGGGGTGTGCAGGAGGCAGCTGGTCGATATTTCTCTCTCATCGATGTTTCTAGCTCTCTCTCACCCTTTCTCTCTGTTAAAAATCAATAAAATATAGTAAAATAAATAAATAAATAAAATAAGGAAGTGTCTATAAGTCTCCCCAATTTATATGCAGAATGTGGTATGGGGCAAGTATTTTACCATTTTTAAAGAAGTCTACATCACTAAAAGGGCTAAGAGTCACAGCTCTGGGCAGTTTTCTCAATTTAAGCATCTATATTTGTACTGGAGGTCCGGTACACAAAATTCGTGCACAGGTAGGGTCCTAGGCTTAGCTGGTGATCAGGGCCAATCTGTGGGACTACTGGCAGGGCCCCCACTGGCACCTACCTTGGTGGTCAGTGCGTGTCATAGCCACCAGTCATTCTGCCATTTGGTTGATTTGTATATTAGGCTTTTATTATATAGGATATATAGGATTTTTTTTTTATTTTTTTTTTACATTTAAAAGGACTTTCAAATTGTTAGTTTTTTAAAAATAGCTATCAGGGAAGTAGGACAAGGATTGTTGTCATTTTTATAAAGAAAGCTAAGTCTCAGGCTAGAGGTAATTATTATTACAATGTAGATATCTTACAAATAAGTCTTGAGAGAAGTCTACCAGACAGCCACAATTTCAGATCTTATTGAATTGGTACTGTGTGCAAAATATTAAAACCCTAGGTCCACTCATGGAGAGAGGCCAGTTATATTTCACATCAGCTTTCAATAGCTCTTCATAGCTATTTAACTTCGAATTGCTGTAAGAATGCAGTGAGACAATAGATGGGCAGCAGAATAAACAAAAATATTGCATCTTTTTGCCTAAATGGAATTTGGTTAATTCATTCACCTGCATGTATATATTTTCTATCCTTACTTGTTTGCCTGTTTCATTGTTTATTCATTATTGATTTATGTTGTAAGTGTGGAATCATTCAGGAACAGAATCTTAAATGGCCCTTCTATAGGGTATATATCTATTGTTGCATTTAGTGGGCTGGCTCCTCAGGAAACGCCCTGAGACAAAGTTACAAGTACAGATTTGAGGGCTCTACACATACCATTGAGAGTCTTTTGGGGGGGGGGGGGGGGACCTTAACAAGCACTGCAGGTGATTCTGATGTTCAGGTAATTTGAAAACCATAAAACTAAATGGTCTCTTCTTGGTATTTAGTGAATCTAATCCTTCCCAGCATAGGACATAATTTCAATTTACGTGTTTTCATCCACATCAATTTTCTGTAGAATTATGACATCATTTGGGAACAAAACTATAGAAATTATGGACTTTCCTTCTAATTTTCTCTAGGATAGTGATAAGCTATCATTTATCAACACAGCAAATATTGATTCAACCCCTTTGGGGAAGTAAATGGGAACAGTGTCTTTTGTCCCAGTTTTTCTTTGGCTATCTGACTGCTGTAAGGCAGTCTTTGAGCACCGGGCTCAGAACCAGATATATTTTTCTTAATGAGTGGAATTGGGATTAGCCCTAGAATTATAAAGAATATGGCTAGGGTTGCTTGCCAGTAACTCCCTAGAGTGAGGTGACAAGCAGATGCAAGAGGAAACTCCCAAGTGTTGAGCAAGGAGTGGAGTTAAACTGGAAATATTGGATTGGGATTTGGGACACCTTCCAAACCAGTTTCTTGGTGGGGCTGTTGAATCACTGGTAGAGATATCTATATCAAAGTCAGCTTATATATATATAGCCGGGACCAGTCTGGCTCAATGGATAGAGCATCGGCTTGGGGAATGAAGGGCCCCGGGTTCGATTCCGGTCAAGGGCATGTACCTTGGTTGCGGGCATATCCCCAGTAGGGGGTGTGCAAGAGGCAGCTGATCGATGACTCTCTCTCATTGATGTTTCGAACTCTCTATCTCTCTCCCTTCCACTCTGTACAAAAATCAATAAAATATGTATTTTTTTTTTAAAAACAAAGTCAGCTTATATCACAAAATGCCAGAAAAATCCATTACAAATGAGTAGCTAAATCAGGCAAATACTTAAACACATGGTGCTTTCTGCTTTTGACACAAATTTTCTCTGTAATTTAGAAAAAGTTGTTCATCCTATCATCATCCTATATAATACTAAAAGCCTAATATGCAAATCAACTGAACTGGTCACTATGATGCACAATGACCACTAGGGGGCAGACGCTCAATGCAGGAGTTGCCCCTAGCCCTCAGGTTCCAGGCTAGCCAAGGCGGGTGCCAGCAGGGGCCTTGCCTGTAACCCGACAGATCAGCCCTGATTGCCGGCCAGGCCTAGGGACCCTACCTGTGCACGAATTCTGTGCACTGGGCCTCTGGTATTCATTCTAAAGTATTTGGAGTAAAGACATCTAAGGAAATGTGTTTGGGAAGTGGTTGGCTTTAAGCCTGCCTTCATAATTGATATTCATAATTATTTCATGGACCACTCATATGCTTTCTTTCAGGTACTGGCTTGCCCAAGAATATGTCTGGTTTTTGATTCCATATATGGTCTACGACATCTACGCCATGTACCTTTGTGACTGGTGCCGAATCAAAGAACAGAACCGCAGACACTCCCTCACCATTTTTCGAAACTTCCTACGTAAAAACCGCCTCATGATCACGCACCATTTGGCCATTCTTTTGGTCCTTGTGCCAATTGCACAGGTATCAGCTGCCTCGCTCACTCATTTCTCCTGTTTATCTGGGTATCATGACCAATCCTTGGGTCAGGATTGCTCCTCTTTTTCTTTGCTTTTCTACTTCACCCGTTCTCGTATGCCAGCTGCTTCTGCAGTTAAATCCCCAGATGAATCATGTAGAGATGTATGTGATCCTCCTTGCCAGCAATCCCCCAGCCTTTGTGATTCCTTAGCTTTGGCCAAAGGTTCTGTCTTTGGTTTATACAATATAAAGACAATATAAAATACAACATAAGGATTTTTTAAAATGAGACCAATTATTTGCTCAGTCAACTGGTTATTTGCTATAACAGTGCCAGAGAGTACTGTGTGCATTATTATTTATGTTACAAAAGCAGGCTCTGAAAGCAAATAGCTGCATAATTTCTCCCTAGATCCATTTTCCCCATCAAAACTTCACCCAACAAGGAAGAAATGGGAATGCAGAGAGGAAATTAGTAATTTTTGAGTGCCTACCAAGCGATAGGCACTTGATTTAAAAGCTCATGGCTTTCGGCTAATAATTAGAAATTATCAGGAATAATGAGAAATAACATTATAAATTGTTAGCCCTATACCGTGTATGTGGCCTGCCAGCCACGAGTTTGACATGCTTGAAGTGAGGCTCTAATAGTTGACGTAGCTCACTCTAGTACTACTTGAGCTGCTATTCTATGCTATACTACTTTCTTGAAAAGATAGGTACCGTGTACTACATTTGAGAAGTCTCCCCAACATCTAGCTCAGGGTCTGACACATATTTTGTTGAACTGACTTGGCTAAGTGCCCTTGGCATGACTAAGTTAGAAACCCAAAAGTAGGCTGCAGAGTTCCTTCCGGCTGACACGGAAATTCTGAGAAAGCTTGGTGTGTGACACAGTTATCAGAAGTTGCCCCGGGATCCTATCAATTCGACCATCAAAGTCCCATTGCTAGGGAAGCAGCAGAGTATTAAATGGGTCTACACGTGTCCATGTAGCATTTCCCTTTCCTTTCATGGTGACCCTTTTCGACAGCCCTAGAATTTCCTTCCAGTGGTTCCTTAACCTCCATGTCACATTTTCCTGTTTCTTCTTGTCACCTGCAGAGGTTTAGGGGAGAGCTGGGGGACTTCTTCGTTGGCTGCATCTTCACGGCAGAACTAAGCACTCCATTTGTGTCACTGGGCAAAATCCTGATTCAGGCACGTATGAATGAAATGGCTGAAACAATGCCTGGGGGATGTGGGGGCACAGAATGTTTTTCCTTTGTAGATTGTAGGGTTTAAGAAATCCCTTAATGGAATATGAGACCCTTGAACAGACTTAAGGTCAATTGGTCTTCCAAGCCAATGGGGACAAAATTGTAAGTTTGATTCAAATGTGATACAGTCCTTCATGTATTTTTTCCCCAGGCCATAGATTATCTCTCATCCTTTGTCCCTATCAGCTGGAGTGGCTTAGATCAAATTCAGCAACACTGCTGAAAAACATTACAAGGCTATCCGCACATATAAATAGGGTCGTGCTCAATCAACGTTTCCAAGTGTTAGAAAGCTAGATGCTTGGACTTTACTGCTGAGGGACTTGAGCTAGTCATTTCCTGAAGGCCCAGCCTCTTGGTGACTCTGCATTCTCCTTCCCTCTTTTGCAGCTAAAGCAGCAGCACACCCTCCTGTACAAGGTGAACGGGATCCTCACGCTGACCACCTTCTTTATCTGCCGGATCCTTCTTTTCCTCTTCATGTATTGGTCCTATGCCCGGCAGAAGGAAATGAGCCTGTTCCAGGTGCCATTCAGGATCCCCGTCTTCTGCAATGTGGCCAATGCCTTCCTCATCGCTCCCCAGCTCTACTGGTTCTCTCTGCTGTGCAAGAAGGCAGCTGGGCTCTTTGACACTCCCCCCGCCGAAAAGGATGGATAAGTGCGCCCAGGAGTCAGGCAGGGAGGATGCCTCTTCATACTAGCTGCCTCTTCCACTCAGTATTCCACGGACCAAATTGTGCCCTGTATGGCCTCAGCCTTTTGGGTATTGATAACTAGATGGGTATGAGTTTTTCTAAAGAATATTCACATTACCTCCCTCTTCCCACCTGCCTTTTGCAAAAGCACTTTTTGTAGTAACAACTATTGGATCCTGTCAGACCTCCATTGGCAGCAGGTGGTTTTGCCCAATGATCCTTCCTTGGGTCTTATCTCAAGGGCTCTGGGAGGTAGAAGCATGGGGGGTGAAGACAGGTGGACCAGGGCAAGTCCCTGGACACCTATCTGGCCCTAATATTGGTGGCTACCACCTTTCCAAACACTCAGGGCAATATCCACATATACTGGGCCAGCAGAAACAGTGACGACTTGGTTCTTGAAATAATTCCTTACGTTGGCCTGGGAAAATTATTGTGGGTAGGTAGCTTTTTATTGTTTACTAGATACTCCATTGCCTCATCCTTTCATCCACGTGCCAACATTGAATTCTTATCTACTGACTTCCAATCAGAAGTCTCATTAGTGAGGGTCGGGTGGCAGGTGGCAGGGATGGAAACCTGAAGCACTTGAGGAGGTAGAGACTAATAGGTCAGCCTCTTTGCAGGCTGACTGTGAGACCGGTGTCAAAGTTGTGAGTTTGTTGTAAACAGTCACAAACACTATTCCCTTTTTAGCATGTCCTTCCAAGCCCAGCTTTCCCGGGATCTGCACACCCACACAGGACGCTCTTTGTTAAAAACTATAGTGATAGTGAAAAGGTGGCCACCAAACTATTTACGAGTAATCCCACTCTTTGACACTCTTTTTTCACATGAAGTGGAAATTGAGTTCTATATTCCAAACCACGAGAAGTCGCATCTAGACTGCCTCCGAACAGAGCCCAAAGCCTGTCCCCAGTGAGTGCACCACCACTGGCCACAGAGGCTGGAGAGCAAGAGTGCAAGGAAACAAGCCTGGTCCAAGTGCCATTCAGGATCCAAAATATGTCCTGTGAACTGACTCCTTCACTACCATTTGCAAATGGGATCCCCTGGTGCCAACACTAATCATTCCTTATCAACTAAGATGGGTTTTAGAAACTGCTACCATGAAATTTTTTTTTTTTTTTCAGGTGGTAGTGAGAAGCTAGATTTTTAAAAGTGCCTTTTGATTCATTGTCCATTAACTTTTAAAGTACTGAATATGTAACAGTGACTCAAATGTTGACTATTTCAGTCTTTATGGGTGCCATTTTAAAAATGCAAAATGATTTTTTTATTACTATTTTGTTCAGTCAGTGTATCTTGTATAAATCACCCATGTGGTGATTAAATTGCACTAATATTTCCCAGCTTACTCTCATTTGTGAAATACATCAATACCAACTTCCTCTGAGATCCATCCCATGATCTGACTTGGCTGGTTGGTGTGTGATATTGTTTCTGGTCTGTATTCATATCCATGTAACTCACAAAGCTGGGGTGTTGAGGGGAGGGGAATGTGTTAATCTTTCAGCCTCTACGAGGGCCTACCTCAAACCTTACTCTAACACTGTTTCTGTGATTCATGGTTCCTGTACACCGAGCATGTCAAACTCTCGGCCCATGGGCCACATGCCTCGTTTATTTGACCTGTGTTAGCCTTTGAGTTTGACATGCTTAGTGTACACTATAGGGTCCCAAAGTTCAAACCCAGTGGTCATGTAACTAGGCCCTTTTTTCTCTATCTAGGTGAACTTCCATTAGGAGTTGGGGAGGGTAAAAACCCAATTGTAGGCCACAGAGCTAGCCCACTTCAAGTGGGGTAGGGAACCTGAATAATGTTCCATTTTGAATGAGGGCCTGGGTATGAAGGAGGTATTGGGATATCTTTCTTGCCTCCCAAATTAAATATCGCAGCAACCAGCACTCACAGTTCTGTAAAATGCCCTGCACACCTTAAGTTTGTAATTTTATGGTTCTGCAGACACCATTCTCTGCTCCCCCTCGTTTTTCAAAACCATGACAATATACTCCAGACAGAAGGTAATTACACTTGTCCTTTAAACACTTTGCTGCTGTTTGCCAGACGTAGCTTTAGCACAGCCCTCTGGACACACTGAATGGACGGTGTAAAGGCTGTATGGCAGAAGTCCTCACTCAGAAGCCATCCGTTTTCTTAATCTACGCCCAGCACTAACTTTTCTTGGTCCAACTTCCTTTCACAGTGGTGCAGGCCTTTTGGGCACGTAAATCACATGGCCAACTGGTAGAAGAATAGAGTTCTTTTCTCAATCGCTACCCTTTCCAAAAGACCAGAAAATGATTCAAAGAGGGTTTCAGTGCAAAAGAACACACACAAGTTATAATTTTTCCACTTAGGTATTTCACCTTTGGACTTACCAAATTTTAGGAAGTAGAAGTCCAATTATGAACTTTCCTCCCAGCCTGATCTGATCTTTAAGACTCTAGCTCAGTGGTAGGCAAACCGCGGCTCCTGAGCCTCATGCGGCTCGAGAGCCGAGGTTTGCTGTTCTGTTGACTAATGAGTTTGCCCAACACAGCTCTAGCTAAACCCGGGTCTAAGCCTAGGCTATTGATGAGGAAGACTCAAAAGAAACAAGACAAACCTCAAAATGAGATTATAATTTGTGTTACAAATACCCAAGAAACTATTTTCTTTACATTGTTATTGCCATATACTTTTTAGCTTGTGGACAACTTCACATAACTGAAGAGGTTCTGTTTCTCGGCTCTCGTCCCTCTACACCCCATCCTCATCAGCTGCTTTCTGATCCACAAAGGTCAGAAGTTGCTGATCTTCTGCAGCAGGGTTTGGCGCCGCTCCTCGGGGCTAATGTTCTTGGCAATGGACTTGAGGAAGTGCTGCTCATTTACCTTCTGGAGTAAGGCGCTAACGGAAGGGTTGGTCTTGCTCAGGGTTTCATAGCAGGTGAGGATTTCCAAGGCCAAAACGTAGAGCGGTTCACACACCTCTTGGTGGAGCATGGCCATGATGTGCAAAACATGACAGAATACCTGAGTATAAAAAAACAGGGCTTCCTGGGTCAGGTCCTGTTCTCCTTGGGCCCAAGGGCCAACTGACCGCATCAGCCTAACCGAGTCCAGGAGGCTGGTCAGACTGCTGCAGAGGAGTTTGACCACATGGCTCCAGCCTTCCAGAGGCAGCCAGCCGCGACAGCTCTGGCCACAGAGAAACTGGAAAGCTCTCAGGAGGAGAACGGAGAGTTGGAGCTCCTGGGCCAAGGGCTTCAGGTTGAGCAGAGGAACAAACTGAATATATTCCAGGCTGTAAGGGACATGTAGGAGTTGTTTCTCCAACAGTCTCCTGGTCAACTGGAAAAGGCACTGCCATTCCTGGGTGCTGCACCAAGGCATGACTTGCACCAGGGCTACCAGAAAGCCCTTGCTGAACAACTTGACCTCCTCGGGGTTGTCCATACCCACGACCAAGAGGGAGAGCATCCGCTCGGAGATGCTGCTGGAGAGGCAGCAGCACTCCATCCAGGCCAGGAGCCCTGTGCCGGGCCCATACCCGGGGTGGGCCTGGGAGGTCCACTCTTCCTCACAAAGCTTACAGATCTCGAAGAGTGTGGCTGGCACCTCACACTTGAAGTGGCCCTCAAAGAAGTCCTTCAGCCTCAGGCTCACCGTCCAGTCCAGCTGCTCCAGCTTCCGGTGGAGCCAGGACAGGGACTTGATCCAGGTGTCTGGGGAGAAGGTCTCGGCGTTGGCTAGGACGATCGCACAGAAGCGCTCCAGGATCTGGACCACCATGTCCTTCCCGTCCAGAGAGAGGCAGCGCTTCTCCTTGGGGAGCCGCCAGTATTTACCGAAGTGGTCCAGGAGCTGGCACAGGCTGAAGATGAGGGGGAACGGGGAGCAGGTTTGGAGCCAGCATTCCTCTGAGCAGGCGTTTACTTCGAGGGTCTGGATGAAGATCTTCAGGCTGAGGTCCACCTCTTCAACATCCAGCATCAAGAAAGGCAGGACGAATTCCCTGAGGACCTCGTCTGGCTCGAGAAGGGTCGCAACTGGAATCCCTGGGGGCTTCACGGGACTCATCAGGCATCTCAAGAGCTCCAGAAACTGCTTCTCTTCCTTGGGCGTAGAGAACTTTGTCCAGACGGTTTCTTTGAGGCATGACACGACCAAAGTGGCTGGATTTGGACCCTGCTCCTCCGTGAACCGGAGGGCGGGGAAGGCGGTGAGGATCTGAGCCAGGAACTTGTGGATGCCGAGATTGACCACTGCCATGCTGCACATTTTCTTCACTGTGACCTCTGGGTGCAGGATCACCAGGCGGGCCACAGAAGCTACAGCCTTGGCCAAGCCCTGTTCGGAAGCACTCTGTGCTAGCTGGTTAAAAGTCGTGTTGAGGTCTTCCTGAAACCCCTCCAAGTAAGCCGACAGCTTCTCACAGAGGCCCTTTCGCCCCCAGGAAACCAGGACACCTGAGAGGACTTTATTTTTATCTGGCAGCGAGAGGCCTGCGTAACACTCCAGGATCACGTCAATCACTTGTTTGATCTGAGATTGCGGGATGGCTCCGTCTGTCGTGCCGACTTCCACCACAGTTTCCAGTAGCTTTAATACCAAGCCTGGCTCTCGGAAGAGAGACTGGTTATTAACCAGGCAGGCTAGCCACTCGTCTGAGAAGGCCCACTTCTTCTCAGAAGCAAAAATGTAGCACATTTCCAGATGCCGGTCCATCCTCTGCTCAATAATGGCCATGGCAATCGCGGCAGTGATGTCTTTCTCCAAGCCTTTGTTGAGCACCTTGTTCGTTTTTCTCAGGAAATCCCCAACGCACTCTGCCAGTTCAGAGACCACCTGCCTCTCCTCCTTGGATAAGCTGGTGGTACCCAGGTAAAGTTTCAAGTTCTGGCTGAAGGAAGTCAGACTGTCACACAGCCGGTAGCTGTCGTAACTCGTCCCTTGGGTGCTGTTGAGCATGGCCTGCAGCTCCTCCCCCCACTCCCGCAGGAGACTGCGCATGAACTCAAACCCGGCAAAAATCGTTTCATTGGGGAGTCTGGCCAGCGAACTCAGGTTGACATCCCGTTCTGCCTCCTTTACCTTCTCTGCCAGTGCCTGCTGGTGATACGGGTTCTGGGTGTCCGAATTCCACACGGAGATCACCGTGGCCAGCTTGTCTAGATACACAGTGGCGGACACTTCCTGAGGGTCGTCCTCCATCAGGGCAAACACGGTCAGCATGTCCGCCAAATTGGCTAACGCACAGCACTTCATCCCGGGGCCCGAGATCCTACTTTGGATTTGCTTCAGCCCAGTGAGCAGCATGGCCAACAAAGGCATGGTGGGACACACGTCAGGGTCTGACTTAAACCTCTTCGGAGGATGGGAGAACTCATCCGGAGAGGACAAGTACTTATTGGCCATGGTCCTAAACTGGGAGAGCAGAGGGTCCTGCTGACCGCCCTTGTGCTTCATCATTTCCCACCACACGTCGAGGAAGAAGGCCACGTCCTTGGACGAAGTGTCAACGGCCATGTGCTCCAAAAAGCGCTCCAGTTCTGCCCGGCAGATGGTGGTAGGGAGGGCCATCAGGAGCTGGATAAAGAGTCCAGAAGCTTCCAGGGACTTGAGCAGCTCAAAAAGGACCGTGTGATTGATGGTAGGGATCATGTTGCCTACCGAGAAGAACACATCTTCCTGCCACCGCGTTTCGGTGTCAGACGGGATGACGGGGTAGGGCTGGAGGACCTTGGCCCAGATGATGACCAGGGCTTTCCTCTTCCAGGCAGAGGCCTGGGAGCATGCCGTGGCAGAGATTTCCCGCAAGGCCTCCACAATGGGCCGCCCCACATGCTCCCAGTCAGACTTTGCCAACTCTGCCAGTGCTTTGGGGTGGAACAGCTGCTCGGCCAGCAAAAAGCCCCCATGCAAAATGGTCATCTCTTCACAGATATTCAAGGGTCCTGCACAGAGAGAAGCCGAGTAAGACAGAGTGTGGTGAAGGGAAAAATTTCAAAATAGTAAGTGGAGGATAGGAGGAAAGACAGCAGTGGGTAGGTTGGCGATTGGGATCAGGGCTAGAGATAAAAGTTCTAAATAGGATCAGTGGGAGAGGGGGAAGAAAGCGGTGAGTGATCCTAGGAGCCACTGCAGAACTGGAATTAAAAAGACTTACGTGAGGAACAGAAAATTACTCCCAAGGTCTACCTTGGAACTGGGAAGACAAGAGGCACCATTGGAGATAGGGAACAGAGAAGACTTAGAACAGGTCTGGAGGGAACACTGATGAGTTTTGGTTATTTGGAGTTTGAGGTATAACATTAAGATAGAAATGCCCTCCAGCAATGGACATGCAAGGTTGAAGCTCAGGAGCACAGTCAGAGAGGACCAAGGGGATCATTGCAAGCAACGAAGTGAGATCTCCCAGGAAAAGCTGGGCTACAGCGGAGAGACCCGCCAGCAAAAGATGGGCCAGCAGAGGGTTTGGGGAAGACGGCTTTCGAGAGAAAGCACAATGACCAGGACCATGGAATAAATATTGCAGAACATGAAACTGAGCTTATAAATTATGACACAGATTAAAAGGCGCATGGCCCAGGGCTGTGGGCACAGAAGCAATCAGACAAACCCCACCTTCCCCCATCTCTCATAGCCTTGTCCTACAAACAGATTCCCACCCTTCTGCTTTTCAGGGAGACGATTCATCCCATGGCTTCTTCCAACAAGAACAGCTAACTACTCGTGGCCCTGGTTCTCTGGCAGAAGCCAAGGGGTAGATGGGAAAAATATTGCACTACAGCAAGCTCTTCCGTCAGTGACCCATGGAATTTTCAGGGAACTGACACATTTATCAAGGCAGGCATCTTGGTCTGTTTAATCAGAGGTGCGTTTAGCGCAGCCATTTAAAAGCAGTCATCTTGGACATGTGAATTCTCTGAGCCTCCCTCCTGAACATGTGGGGATAATACAAACTTCACATAATGACCATGAAGATCCAATGATATTATACTAGTCAAGCTCTTGGCACTGGGTTGGTGCTTACTGTTCGCTCCTGATCCCACTTCGCAGTGACAGAGTTAAACAAGATATCCTCTATAATAAAAGGCTAATACCCTGTTTCCCCGAAAACAAGGCAGTGTCTTATATTAAAGTCGCGCTAGGTCTTATTTTCAGGGGATGTCTTATGTTTCCACGAACTAGGTCTTATTTTCGGAGAAACACGGGTATGCAAATTGACCAGTGGAACAACTGGTCGCTATGACATGCACTGACCACCAGGGGGGGGCAGACGCTCAACGCAGGAATTGCCCCTGATGATCAGTGCACTCCCACAGGGGGAGCACCGCTCAGCCAGGATCCCTGAGCCAGGCTCATGGCTAGCGAGCACAGTGGCAGGAGCCTCTCCTGCCTCTATGGCCGTGCTAAGGATGTCTGACTGCTAGCTTAGACCCAGACATCCCTCTAGGGTCCCGGACTGCAGAGGGCACAAGTCAGGCTGAGGGGACCCCGGAGCACGAATTTCATACACTGGGCCTCTAGTAGCTACAATAAGAATCAGGATTCAAAGAGCCTGATGAAGTGCTAAATAAATGTGTTGTTTTTTTCCCCCCAAACCTTTCTACTGTTGACAAGAACAGAATCTTGTCAGTACTCTTGGCCTCCCTGAACTCAGAAACATGAAAAGACAGATCTTTCTCAGGTGTCTCTCCTTTGGACAGATTCTAAATACTGCTCACTAATCAATATTCCTGACTCTCCCCTTCCCCAGGACCCAGAGATACCACCCCTTTCTCAGTCCTTCATCTCCCCAAGAACCCATCTTCCCAGACTCCTGATTCCAGCAGATTAAAAAGTATCCTGCTCCTTGGACCATTTATGGGAGCAGCAAAAAGGCCAAGCAACCAACCAGCACTCCTATGCAGACCACTGTGAAGGCAATCCACCTTGGCTCCGGCGGCCGAGGCTGACGCCCACCGAGGGTAGGGCTGCTGAGGGTGTTCTGGACCTTCTTTCTAGCTCAGGCTACTGTCCAAGGCACCAAAATACGTTCCCTTTGACTCTGTAAAATGGATTTTATTGCGCTATCAGATCAGTTGAGAGGCCTGGCCTTCTAACAGCTATTTTCCAGAAACACTCAAGTGTTAAGTCCCAGGAGCAGTTAAAAGCTGGGTGATTCCCCAGTGTTTTATCACTGCCGTTAACAGTGCTTCTGAGTGCCCACTCCTTTGTATTTGTTGAGTGCTACTTGTGCCAGGTGGTACTCATGTAAGGTCTCTGTAAGTCTTCATGTCAACCTTTCGAGGACTATGTTATTCCCGTTTTAGAGATGGGAACATTGAGACGCAGAAGCAATTTGCTCGGAATGTTGCAGCAGAAGCAATTTGCTCGGAATGTTGCAACCGCAAAGCTGTTGGGCAGAAGTCACCACAGCTGTAAGGCCCTGGGAGAACTGGTCAGGATGTGCCAGTGATACCCGGCCTCCCCACCACCATCTGCCATGCAGAACCGGAGCGCTTTTTGGAGCACATGGCTAGTGTGGGATACAAACGTGAGAGCTGTATCTGGGGCCAAGGACCAGAACTTTCCTCCACGGGCCTAGTATTACTGGCACACCTTGGGGTGCCTCCCTCTGCTCCCCCAGAGCAATCTCCTAGTGTTATCCCCTTAGGATAAGGTGACCAGACATCCCGATTTTTAACAATTTGTCCCGCGTCCTGGGGCGTTTAAAAAAAAAAAGTCCAAAAGATTTAAAAGATTCTTTCCAAAAATAGGGACTTTTTCTTTTTTTCTTTTTTTAACCGCCGCGGGACGGGGGACAAATTGTTCAAAATCGGGACTGTCCCACCAAAATTGGGACGTCCGGTCACCTTACCTGGCTTAGGGGCATGTCCAGAAGGGTAAAAGGCTGGGCCAGGAGCCGCCGGTTTACACCTGCTCCCTCTCCTCTCCTCCCAAACTCTGCCTCGGGGTTCCGAATCCAGATGCACGTGCCACGCTGCAGCCACAACCCTCCCCGTAACCGCTGCGAGTCTGATGGACGCGAGCTCCGTGAGGGCCCGGTGTCCACGTGACCTCGGCGAAAACTCCCCAGAACTCTGAGGTGGGAGCATCATCATCTCCGCCTTTTCTATGGGGACCTCATGAGCGTTAGGTCACTGGCTAAAGAACTCAGACATTCAACTAATGAGGCCGCCGGGCTTCCGGGACTCCCCCGGGCAGTCTCCAAACCACCGGCTGGAACCCCTTCACTTTCAGGAAACCCTCCCCGCCGTGTGGCGCGGCACGTGGAAAGGGGCCCAGGGGCCAAAGCGCGCCGCGGCCGGGGCTAGAGCCGGGTCTCCCCGACCCCGGTCTCCAAGGAAACGCCTCCTCCCCACACCCCTCCCCACCCCCGGGCTCCCTCAGCCCGGGCCGCTCGGCACCGCCCTGGCCGCCGTGGCGGGAGTGGCCCAGGCGGGCTCGGGAAGGGGAGCCGGGACACCCACCTAAGTCCATGGCGGCGACGCGGGCGCAGTGCGGCGAGGACTGCGCAGGCACCACCACACAATGGGCGGCGCGGGGGCGGGGCCAGGGCGGCGCCTCAGGCCCCGCCCACCACAGTCTCCGTTCCGGCCTCGCGGACCGCCGCCCTCCGCTCCTCCCCGCGCACGCGCGCTCCTCCCTCCCCAGCCCGCGGCGTCCGGGCGCCAGGCGCACAGCGCCCTCTGTCGGCCCTCCAACAGGTTGGCACCCGCCCGCCCCGCCTTCCGGCCGCTGCGCGCCCTCTCTCTGCACGGTCCCACCCGGGCGGTCCGACCCGCCGTTTTCCCTCTCCTTTCAGGCCCAGCCTGCTTCCTGATCCCAGTGAGTCCCACCCATTAGCTCCGCCCATCACCCCTGGAATCGCCCGCACAGCTCACACACACTGCTCGTCCCGCGGCAGGCTGCCCACTAGCCAGCACAGAGGCACCCCTCTCTAAGCACAGGCTGCTTCCCCCGCAGCACATCCCCCGTCTCACACTCCCACCACCCAGCGCCACAGCCTCACAATCGTCCCCAGCGCTGCTTCTCAGAACACAGCAGCAGCTCCTTACTTTTCTGGCATCAAGACGCCAGATGTGAATGGTCGTCCTTCTCCCCAGAAAATGCACTGTGCAGGACCGGAACAACTGGTGTGTGTGTGTGTGTGTGTATGTGTGTGTGAGATCCAATTCAGTGGGCTCATTTGTTTTTCACTGAGAACACACAAATGTCCTGTGTTCTTCCCATATATATTACCCTGTCTCCTTTTCTCTCTTTCTCTTCTTCCCAGACCTAATCACCAGCCTCAAGTGTTTCTAGCTCTTCACGCTCCAGCTTCTAGGACCAGGTTTCACTTAAAAAAAAAGCGAGAGGGGCCGCACCTCAGTTCCCCCAATGTGCCAAGTGGAGTTTGAGCTGGCCTGCGCCGCGTTGAAGCAGCTGAAGGGGCCTGTGAGCGAGCAGGAGAAACTGGTGGTGTACAGCTTCTACAAACAGGCCACCCAGGGCGACTGCAACATCCCCGCCCCGCCTGACACGGATGTGAGAGCCAAGGCCAAGTGGGAGGCGTGGAATGAGAAAAAGGGGATGTCCAAGATAGACGCCATGAGGATCTACGTTGCTAAAATCGAAGAACTGAAGAAAAAGGAAACTGGTTAAGGAGCACAAAGTCAAACAATGAAATAGCAGGGCTCCTCTGGGAGGGAAATGGGCTTCTTAAAAGATCTTGATGGCTAAAATGTCCTGAAACCATAGCTACCGTAGCTGAGACATCAATAAATCTCTTGAACTGCAAGAAAATGCACGACTGCTGTTGGAAAAGCAAATAAACTCAGTGACATGAGAGTACTGGGGAGCTGAATGAGATGTATTAAGAGTATCTCTCCTTCTAGAGAAAGTTCCATCAAATCTGGCTTTGGGTATGATTCTACGTTTTCCCAGCCTTCCTATGCTCAGAGCATATGTAGCTATGTGACAGCAGCAGAGGGGTGGGAGGGAATCAGGCTATGAAAATGCCCAAGATTTAAAAATATATATATTTTTTATTAATTTTTTACAGAGAGGAAGGGAGAGGTATAAAGAATTAGAAACATCGATGAAAGAGAAACATCAATTAGCTGCCTCCTGCACATCCCCCACTGGGGATGTGCCCACAACCAAGGTACTTGCCCTTGACCGGAATCGAACTCGGGACCTCTCAGTCCGAAGGTCCGCAGGCTAAGGCTCTATTCACTGAGCCAAACCAGTCAGGCAGAAAATGCCTAAGATTTGAAGTCAGTGAGAGAGGCTCTGCTTGGTGGGGGGAAGGGGAGGGAGCCGAGGCGCCTTATCTGAGGTCTTTATGGTGGTTGCTTCTGTTGTTTAATAGCCTTTCATGACCTGGAGATAACTTAGTCAGGGGCTGTCTATTCACTATTAACCCAACATCATGGCGGTGGTGTCTTCCACAAAGCAGGTCAAGACCTACTACCAAAAGCCCCTCCCGGAGCACAGGCCTGACGAAGCTAGTGTTTTGAGGGAAGACGGACTTTTAGAAAGTAACTTGAATCACAACACGGCAGTTGAGAAACACTGGAGCAGATGGTCTCAAAGTCCCAGCTCTGAAACACTCACCGGAGGCCTAGCGACCAAAGTTTCCGTGGGACTACTGCGTAGCTAATCCTGGTTTCTGCGTGGGGATGTTTGTGGGACAATATGTACATGTCCGTATATGGGATAAAACAAATCCCCTGACCCATGCAAGAGCCAGAGTGCATGAGCTCGGCTTCCACTTAGTATTGATTTCATGGCGGCATCAATGTACAAGGCACTGGGATATGAAGGCTAAACGATATTAGAGACATTTTGAAGCAAAAGGTCTGTTGTGGTATGAAATTTTCCAACGTTTTTCTTCAATTAAAAAATGTTTTGGGGGGCCAGGGTTATCCATTGGGGACTAGCTTTAGCTCTTCAGGCCTCGGCTCCATTCCTTGGGGCTAAGCTAGGCTCTTAGGGGCTAGCCTCTGGCCTTCTGGGAGCTCCCTTGGGAACGAGAGGCTAGGCCATTTGGAACTAGGTCAGGCTCCTTCTGGCTAGACTTGGCTTTTTGGGGTTAGCTCAGCTTTTGGGGGCTACACTCAGCTCTGCAGAACTAGGCTGGACTCTCTGGGGCCAGTCTTGGCTCTTAGGAACTAGGATCATAAAAACACACTATTTTCATACTTCATGACATTAGGTTAGCTCCAGGTCATGAAGGGCTATTAAACAACAGAAGCAACCGCCATAAAGACCTCAGAGGAAACCAAACCTCACCAGGTATCTTTGAGATCTTCTGTTCACATATTTGCTGGAAGTTGCTATAGACTAAGTATATTACTTAATAATGAAGTAAACCCATGCCCAGCCGGTGTGGCTGAGTAGTTCAGCATTGTCCTGTGAACCAGGAGGTCACGGTTCAATTCCGGGCAGGTCATATGCCTGGGTTGTGGGCTCAATCCCCTGTGTGATGAGTCTAGTCGCTGATGTTTCTCTCTCTCTCTCTCTCTCTCTCTCCTCCCTTCCTCTCTGAAAACAATAATATATATTGATTTTTTCCTCTTAATTGTACAACTATGCATAAGTTAATGCTGTTTATCTACTTGGGATATGTTAGCTTTATGATGCCAGCCCTGATATCATAAAAGAGCGATCTAGTATTGGTTGGTTTCAGTACTTACATAAACCATTTATTTTACTATAGGAAACTTAGCGGGGGGGCCCGGAGGCGGGATGGTGGAGCCGGTGAGAGGGCAGCGCTAGTCCAAGGTGGAGTGCCAGTTGGGCTGTGGAGCTATAAGGTTGGGGATATGAGCTGAGGCGGAGGCTGGGGTGCGAGCTGGGGCCCGATCTCTGCAGCCCGCCCCAAGGGACATCACCTGAGCACGAGTTTGTGCACTGGGCTTCTAGTGCACTTCTAGTGCTGACTATATGTTATTCTGGAACTGGTATCCTCTGAGTCAATCCTTTCCAATATTATCAATTCTTCCCAGAAATTTGAACATGCCCACCACTTTATTTATTTAAATATATTTTTTATTGATTTCAGAGAGGAAGGGAGAGGGAGAGAGAGACAGAACATCAATAATTAGAATAATTGATCAGCTGCCTCTTGCACATCCCCTACTGGGGATCGAGCCAACAACCTGGGCATGTGCCCTGACTGGGAACTGAACCTTGGCCTCCTGGTTCATGGTTGATGCTTAATCACTGAGTCACTCCAGCTGGGCATGCCCACCACTTTACTGATTTCAGAGAGGAAGGAAGAGAGAGAGAGAGAGAGAGAAACATCAATGATGAGAGAGAATCTCTAATCGGCTGCCTCCTTCAATGGGGATCCAGCCTGTAACCCAACATTTGCCTTGACTGGAATCAAACCTGGGACTCTGCAGTCTGCAGGCCAACACTCTATTCACTGAGCCAAACTGGCTAGGGCTGTTCACCATTTTAAATAATGAATCTTACAGGTTGATATAATAGTTTGATTTTAGAAGTATATCATCAAAAAATATTTAATAATAAATGTGCCCAATATAATTATGTTTCCAGTAACTAAAATGTATTTGTTCTACAGAACCAAAGAGAAAATTACAAGAAAACATTAAAAAAAATTTTTTTTCAGGCTAAAAGAAATCGTCTAATCCATTTAAAAGAAATTTAACGTGTTCTCTTTTTGTGAAGGTTTTTTAAAATTATATAAGGAAACTAGCACAGAGCCAGGTATGTAGCTACACAACACATTAGATCCTTCTGTCTGTTTTCTCTGGTTACTCAAAATTTTAAAGCAAGGAATGGGGGGATATTAACTAAATATTTTGGTTCAAGGAACAAATTTTATTTTACAAATAAGTTTTTTTTCATAAAATCCACATGCTTATTAAAATTCCTTCCATCCCAACCAAGGGTAATGTCCCATATAGCTGCCCAGTCTGCAAAATAATTTATTACTAATTTAATATGGTTATACACATTGGGCCATTTGAGTGACAGTGAAGATTACATCCAGAGTTCTCCTCTAATTGGATTGACAATAAAAGGATTTATACCTAAAACATATCAGAGCTTTCAAAGATTAAAATATACAAATCTTCACAACCCCAAGCTTCCTTGCCTCTACAGGAAACCAAGTTGTGAGAGCATTTATCATGAAAGGACACATCAAACCTCGCAGGTGATGGACAAGAATCGTAAATGCTTGTTCCACATGATATCTTCTATTGAGGTTTAATTTGCTTAGCAAACCATTCATCACTTTTATCTGCTGCCATTGCCTATAGAAACAGAATTAGAATATATATTCTAAGTCCATAAAACAAAACATATAGTTCACTTTGTACCTCATTGCATTGTCTATAATCAAGAAATTAACGGTTGAAAAGTATTTGCTCAGTAGAAAGTGTTATGTTTAATTTGACAGAGGATGCTGATGAATACTGAGCAATTGCTTGTGGATTTTCACTTTGTAAAGGGCCTGCAGACAGAAAGTATGGCTGACAAGACAGCCAGGGCCCAGCACCCCAGGCTGTGGGCTCTTCCACAGAGAGAAAGGGCTGTAGCTCAGCTCTGGGAGGCTCCCAGCATTGTTAGTGCTCCAGAGGATCAGCTAACAATGAGACCAAATGTAAAAAGCTATTCTGACATCTTAGCTATTGAGCCTTTTTCCATGCTTCCTCCCACGCCATTCCACTGATGTTGGTACAATTTGGTTAGTCTGGGCCACCATATTAAAGAGGAAGCCTTATTAATAACAGTACGTTTTGGATCCACCAGAGTCCTTTTATTCTATTGTTCCATGAGGTTGAGACCATGGAACAAGGCTTGTAGCAGCTTAGAATCTTAAAATGTCCTGTCCAGTGCAACCAAGCGCATGCTAAATAGCTGCTTGCTAAGGAAATACATTCACTTATTCAGTCAAAAAGCAAATACAGAAACACCTTTAAAAATGCCAGTTTTCCTTAAGGGGTCGGCATTAGCTTGGGTTTGGATGTGGCAGCAGAGACATAGTCTGAGGCTTTAAAGAGCATACAGAATAGCTGAGGACTCAGGTATGAAAACAACTACCGTATTTTGCATAAGGAATATGGGGGGGACATTCGCTATAATGGGATGATAAAAAAGTGATAGCAGCCTGAAAATACCTTAAAGGTATTTCTGTACTTGCTTTTTCACTGAATAAATGTATTTCCTTATCAAGCAGCTATTTCTTTTTAGAAACTAACTGGTTGGAGAAATAAAGAAAACACTTATCTACCTTAGCAAGAAGTCAAAGGATGACTGCAACTAAAAATGAAGAAACAGAAATATATGTGTATGTGTTTTGTTAATCCTCACCCAAGGATAGTTTTTCTGTTGATTTTTTAGAGAAGGTAGAAGGAGGGAGGAAGGGGAGAGGGAGAGAGAAGGGGAGAGACGGGGAGAGACGTTAACTGGCTGCCTCTGCATGAGAGATCCAGCGATTGGTGTGCACAGGGTGACACTCTAATCAGTGAGAAACACCAGCCAGGGCAGAAATATAAGTATTTTTTTAACTAAGAAACAGATACTGAAAGTGGCTGCCCTGGGCAATAGGACTCAGCAATGGGGCAAGACATTGTTGCATTGCACTAATGTAAAATCTCAGTATTGCTGAATTTTTAAAAAATTGATTTCAGAGAGGAAGAGAGAGGGATAGAAAGAGACATCAATGATAAGAGAGAATCATTGATTGGCTGCCTCCTGCAAGCCCCCAACTGGGATAGAGCCCGCAACCCGGGCATGTGCCCTTGACCAGAATCAAACCTGGGATCCTTCAGTCCACAGGCCGATGCTCTATCCACTGAGCTAAATCGGCTAAGGCTGTTATTGGATTTTGATGAAAATAAAAAGTTTTTTAAAATGAAAGATGTGCAAGAAAACAAAACATAACAACAAAAACAACCCACAAAGGTGCAGAACTTTCTTTTAAGAGTTGCTTTTAAAAAGGAAACAACAAATTCCAGTATAGAGAACCCAACAAAACTCCTGAGTTTTGAAGGATGAGTTGAATAAGAGGAGAAGAAAGGCAAGAAGATAAATCCTGGTTAATATAAACAGCTCCCTGGGCCTGGCATGGAAGTGAACCAGGGGGGAGGCAGCACAGCAGATCAGAGAGTAGGGAAGGGCAGGGCGTGTTACATGTCCTAAGTGTTTGGACTGAATCTTTGAGGCAACAAAGAGCTATCAGAAGATTACACTGTTCTAAAGTTACTGGATTTGTGCTTTAGAAAGCAAATGCTGGCAGCAGGGATTGACTGGATAGTGGAAGGAGGCTTCTGCAGTATTATGGCTGATAATAAGGACATTTTCAGAAATACTAAGAAGACAAGAGATTTCAGAGGCAAAACTTACACTCTTGGTGACTTATTGCTAACTGTACATGAATTCGTGCACAGGTGGTGTCCCTCGGCCTGACCGGAGATCGAGGCCTATGGGGGGAGAGGAAGCGGCCGACGGGGGTAGGGACCCTAGGAGGTTGGCTGGCTGCCCCCCCTCCATTGGGGCCTATTGATGGGGGCCTGGAAGCCAGGGGGAGGGACAGCAGGAGTTTGGCTGGGGGAGCGTACTGACCACCAGGGGGCAGCTCCTGCATTGAGCATCTACACGCCCCTCCCCCCCCCAAGGCCTCGCTATGGTCAGTGTGTGTCATAGCTACCAGTCGTTCCATTGTAATGGTCACTTAGGCATACACACACACACACACACACACACACACACACATACTAGAGGCCTGGTGCATGAAATTTGTGCGGGGGGGGGGGGGGGGGGAGGATGGCGTCTCTCAGCCCAGCCTGCACCCTCTCCAATCTGGGACCCCTTGAGGGATGTCCGACTGCCCGTTTAGGCCCAATCCCACCTACTGGGATCGGGCCTAAATGGGCAGTTGGACATCCCACTCACAATCCAGGACTACTGGCTCCCAACTGGTCACCTGCCTGACTTCCTGATTGCCCATAACCACTCCCATGCCAGCCTGATTGATGTCTAACTACTCCCCTGCCAGCCTGTTTGCCCCCAATTTCCCTCCTCTGCCGACCTGGTCACCCCTAACTGCCCTCCCCTGCGGGGTTGATCGCCCCCCACTGCCTTCCCTTGCAGGCCTGGTGCCTCCCAACTGCCCTCCCCTACTGGCCATCTTGTGGTGGCCATCTTGTATCCACCTGGGGGCAGGATCTTTGACCACATGGGGGCAGCCATCTTGATTTTATGTGTTGGAGTGATGGCCAACCTGCATATTACTCTTATTAGATAGGATAGAGGCCTGGTGCATGGGTGGGGGCCAGCTGGTTTGCCCTGAAGGGTGTCTCAGGGTGGGGGTTCCCTTGGGGCGTGGAATGGCCTGGACGAGGGGCATGTGGTGGTTTCCAGGCTGGTCACACACACACCCCCCCGCCCCCCCACGGTGACCCAAGCGGAAGCCCTGGTATCTGGAATTTATTTACCTTTTGCAATTGAAACTTTGTAGTCTGTAACGGAGGCAAGCCTTCTGCTTGCTCTGTGGCTGCTGCCATTTCTGTTTGGATTTGTTTACCTTCTATAATTGAACTTTGTAGCCTTGAGTGGAGGCTTAGGCGGGTAAGGGCAGGCGGAAAGCTTGGCTTCTTCTGTTGCCAGAGAAACCCAAGCCTCCCTCCTGCCCTCTTTGACTGCAGCCATCTTGGTTGGGGTTAATTTGCACATTCACTCTGATTGGCTGGTGGGCGTAGCAGAGGTATGGTCAGTTTGCATATTACTCTTTTATTAGATAAGATATATGATAGAATTTTGGGGTGAGGAGAAACAATATTCAAAAATGGATCTATCTGTGTATCTAAAACTATTCTAAAGTTAGAAGTGTTCTAAAATATCTCATTAACAACAACAACAAAACTGTCTCTATGGATTCTAGCTTCAAGAATTGGTATAAAAAATATACAGTGCTATTCAGGGAAGGGAATAGAGTAGAAATCGAGGAGGAAAAACAACTGGTTGTAAAGCCTTAAAGATCTCTGTTCAAGCCCTTGCCCTGACACTGAATGTACAATATTTGGTGACAGTATTTTTGGGCCTTAGTTTGCTCATCTAAAAGGGAACTGTTAACCTTGCAGATTGTGTTAAGAATAGAGTATATAGAAAGCACTTAAGAATATGTCATGTGTTAAGAACATGTGAGATACTTAATAAACTGTAACTTCTATTTTTATATTATTAAAATAAGAACGGATTTGAAGTAAGACAAATTAAGTTATAGACATACTGAGTTTGAAATATCCATGGTGAAGAGGTTTTGTTAGCTATAAATTTAATCTGGACAAAAAAAAAAAAAAAAGCACTAAATATAAAAAAAAAGGTTTACAAACTAGGCTCCCAACAAATCAACAAGAAAAAGATAAAACATTTTTTAAATGGATTTTATTGGGCCTTAAAAAATAAGCAAATATTCTAATAGAGAAGGGACATTCTAGGAAAATAAAATAGTGTGAACAAAGACATATTTAGAGATTAGAAAATAGATTAAAATGGCTAAAATGAAATAGATCAGAGGTATGTCTTTCAAGTAGTTTGGCATGAAATTCAATGGATCATATTAATTGTTCTGTATTTAAACAGTCCAATTACACTAAAGCTAAATTTAAAAATACATAGGACAAACCAACGTATAAAACTATTTTTAGAGGGTGAAGGAAATTTTAATAAGAACTAGATTTTAGGTGACATAAAGGATACATTGTTGATTTTTTAAATGTGATGATGTCAGTATGGTATATAAGAAAATTCCTGAATGTTTACTTCTTTTATATAGTCTTAAAGATGTGTAAAATACTATGCTTGCTTCAGCAGCATATATACCAAAATTGGACCAATACAGAGAAGATTCGCATGGTCCCTGTGCAAGAATGCCACACAAATTCATAAAGGATTTCATTTTTTTTAATGTGTAAAATACTTAGTATTTAGGCATGAAATGTCATGGTTTTTGAGATTTGCCTTAGAATTCTTCAGCAAAAATAAAAGGTGGGGTGGGAAAAAATGATGAAAAATTATGGAACAGAGCTGATGGGTGACATTTACTTAGGGATTGTTGTACTCTTGAGTGTATATTTAGAGTTTTTAATCATGAAGTATAAAAAATAAATCTAGTATGGAAAGAAATGGGACAAAAAAACATATAACATACAAAAGAATACAAGCAAATGGCCAATAAGCATATGACAAGCTGCTTAACATCATCAGTCATCAAGGGCATTAAATTAAAACAACAATGATAAACCATTTC